TCTGAGGCCTAAATAAGAGAGAGAGAGAGAGAGAGAGAGAGAGAGAGAGAGAGAGAGAGAGAAACATAATCATTAGTTAGAAAAGCCATGGCTGAATAGAGTAGCATATGTCTCAGTAAGAAGAGAAGCCATGTGCGTCTGCCCTTATCCCATAGGGGCAGGAGGACACTGACTTTTGGGCATGTTCAACAGTCAAGAAAATGTAATTGAAGGAACAAGGGTCAACAATTCTTTTTTTTTTTAAAAATAGCACTGGGGATTGAATCTGGGGCTTCACATACATGAGGCAAGCATGCTACCACTGAGTTCTACCCTCAGTACTTTTAATTTTTATTTTAGTCTTGCTAAACAGCCCAGGCTGCCCTCAAACTTCTGAATCTCTTATCTCAGCCTGCCAAACAAACTGGGATTAGGTGTGTGCATGATGATGCCCAACTAACTTCTTTAGAGCAATGGCTCTCAGTCTTCAATCTGAAACACAAAATATGTAAAGCTCTTGCCCCATTTTCGGGGCTTCACCTCCCGAGACTCTTCCAAAAGCTGTGTATCTGGGAGAGGGAACTTCGAGGTGGGGCTGGTTCTCTTTTCTACACAGGAGTAGGAATAAACCCTGCACTTCAGGACTAGAGGTGCAGCCCAGAATCCTTCTAAAATTCCCTCCTTTTGCACCCTATGAAGACTCCTTTGAGTGATACTCAGGAAAAAGACTGCTGCCTGTCCCTTCTCAAGTGAAGGAAGCCTCAGGCTTCTGGAAAGCTTTGCAAGATCTAGAGCTGGTAGAACATTCTACCTGTGTGCAGAAGCGGCGTCAGTGGAAGCATCTGAGGTCCTGATACCCACCTTTGCCTTTTCAATGACATTTGCGAACTCTCCCACCCACAGGAAGCAGTGCTGGGGTGACAGCAGGAGGAAGCAGTCCCCGCTGTTGAGGGATGAGGCACGGGGCTCCACAAGCCTCGTCTGCACATGTCTTCTCCCTGAAGATGAGGCCCAAGGTTACCGTTTTCCTAGACAGGAACAGGACCAGGAGGCACCCAGAGCTGAATGTCCCTGCCATGGACTTCTCTGCCCCAATGACTCTGGGCTGCTCTATCAGTTCCTGTGGTGCAGGGTGGCATGGGACGGTGAGAGGGCTGCACGGCAGCATTAGCGATCACTTCCCTCGGTGGTGTTTGTCCAAATGCCACCATGCTGCTTAGGACTGCGCTATGTCCGTGTCTGGTGACAGTGTGCACACTGGTGCACTATGCTTCCCCCTCCAGGGACACTGCCAAGCAGGCCCTTCCACTTAACATCTCTGGCCGTGCTGCGGGGAAAGGCAAGGCTTCTCTCGGATCCCATCTCCTTCTCCAAGATTTCCCGCTATACCTCATGGGCCATCTAAACAGGAATCAGCTCAGAGGGAAACTGCTTTGTGTCTCATTCAACTTTCTGATAAACGATGCATCAGTTTTGAGCTTCCACAGTACACACGTAGGGTCAGCTCTGCTTTAGTCCACAGCAACGTGTCACTAGTTGCTAGTCTTCGATACACTAAAAAGGGCAGTGGATTTAGCCCAGAGGGAGGATGTTTCCTCCACCCCTGTCTCCAGTGTACCTAGAGTGGCCACTAGGTGGCACAGAAGCCCTCTTCGCTCCACTCAGACGTCTGCTTTTCTTAGTCCCCTCTCTGCCAGGGAGAGAAAGGCATAGTATTTTCTGCTTCTTTGGCTCCAGAGTTCCTGTAACTCCTTCCCCAGGAATGTGCCCTCCTCCCCTGGCACGCATGGACCCTTGGCTGGTCTCAGCAGGGAGAGCTGAGATCCATCCTGAGCCCGTATGGTGCATCTGGTAGCTGTATACAGCACTAGCGTTACGGACCACTAAGCCAGGGGATCAGGGTGGAGGAGCGGAGGCTGAGATGCTGACTGAGGGGACACCTCCAGCTCTGGCTGCTCCTCAGCAGCTGCTGTGACCATGTTAGCAACTTCCCACAGCCTCAGTGCGTAGGATGCTTCCTGCCTGACGGGTTTCTGTGGGGCTCAGGTGTGAGGAGCTAGCACTATGCTGCATGCGTGGCAGGCTCCCAGGAAGCACGCGCACCCTCACTGGCAATAAGGGGAACATTCAGGACTCCTGAGACCAGACAGAAAGCACCTGTCAGAGCGCAATTCCTCCATGCTACTGGGAAATACCTTTAACCTGTAACAACATCAGCTTCTTGTAGGGCACCGCGCTGTTGTTGGAATTCTGCTCGGTCAGGTTGACGCTCCGCAGGCTGACATTGCTGAAGTTCTCCTTACTGGCTAAGCCTGCCAGAGTGACTTCCGAGAAGTTGGAGTTGGAGGACACTGGGCAGGTTGAAGAAGGAAAGCCGAGTAGGGGAAGTAAGATGTTTAGTGAAATGGCACGGTTCGCAGTCAGAAATGATTCCTAACTGATCTAACTTCTACAGTCAGGCTGAGGGCTCCTCCCCGTCCCCTGAGCACCTGGGGTTCCCTGCTACTCACTCTTTTCCACTTTCATCCGCTTCGACTCCATGAAGGCGATGTTCAGCCTCTGCTCTGTGTATTCCTGAAGGAGGTCCTCTCTCGCAGCCAGCATCTTGAGCGGGTTTTTGGAAGCCTGCACCCGGCGCTTGGGCCTAACGGCTCGCTTGTGCTCTGCCACAGAGGACGTCAACCTGCCAGTAGAGCACAGCCAGTCTCAGTTTGGTTAGCAGCTATAGCAGCCAGGTCTGGTTAATGGGTGGGTTGGGACCCAGGGCAATGGGCTCCAACCTTTTACTTCCTGATTTCATTGCAAGTCACCCTGGTACCTTTGCACTGAGCCTGGTTTTAGCTTTTCTATTTTCTAAGTAGCTGAACTGCCCAGACTGGGCTGGAGCCCAGGAATTTGCCTGCCTCAGCTGTAGTCATTATAAAGCTTACCGCTCGTCCTACCATCTCTCCTGAGGTGGGGTCACGGGGTCCAGGTGGGGAAGGGAGCGCTAGGTGCACTGTCTTGAGGGTCCCCACAACACCCATAAGCCTCCCTGTGCTCAGCCTGGAGGCCCATCAGTGCCACTGCAAGACGGCTCATAAGATTAGGGGGCCCCATCTGTCCGTCTCGTTCCTACGCCTCTGTCTCTCTGGGTGCAGCTCTCTCTCTCTGGAATAGCACAGCCATGGCCCTGGAGAATTCACGATCCACCACTGCCTCTCCACCCAAGCCAGCTTAATCATTCTCCTCACAAAACAGCTTTTCAGTTCCCTATGTCAATCTACCATGAGCTTCCGCTCCCCCTAGGAGCCCTGTACCACAGGCCTGCCAAGCCACGGGAAACCCTGGAACTGTGTGGTGTCTGTGGGCAGAAGAGAAGCACGGAGAGGTGGCGGGGACAGCTACACAAGCTCTTGGGGGGACAGCTGTCACCATGCGCAGCTTCCAGGGGTGCATGGCTCTGTGCCTGAGAGTCTGTATATATATGACACTGGTGTGTGCGTACTAGTGAAAATACACGCAGACTCATACAATTAAAGTGTCTGCTGGATGTTTAGCAAATTTATTACAGGAAAGGACACAAATGCCATTAGCCTCTCTCAAAATTGTCCCCCTGACTTTGAACACACTTATCCCTTTGTCCTTGTTACTTAGGAAGTCCTCTGTCATGGGCGTCTTTAGAGGGAATGATCATAAATATAGTGAATGCTACCACTGAGTGCCATTCAACAGAAAGCAGGCTTGTAAAACTATCATGGGGTGTCCTTATTGACCTTAAAATGGGATCTCAGAGAATTCTGGCTCTTCTGCAGGGCACTTCTGAAAAGTCAAAATAACTATGAAAACTAAACATTTTGAATGGATTCAGGGCGGGAAGACAGCCATGACAGCGTGAGTAAAGACACTCATGTAAGAGGACTTCCACGACTGCTTGAGGAAGTGCAAGAACAGTCTACATAGGAAGGACACTGTGGCTCATACCTAGATGTCTCCCCAAAGCCTCAGGAGCTTCTGGAGGGATCGGGATCTAGGATGAGTGACTCTGGGATCAAGGATGCGATGCTGGGATTGATTTGTGGTGCGAAGCTGGGGTTAAGGGTGTGAGTGCTACCTGCCTAAGGATGGGTAGCCTGGGAAGATATAAGGGACAGGGAAAGGGCGGTTGCTGGTTGCTTGCTGTTGCTGCTTGTTTTTTTTTTTTTTTTTTTTTCTTTTCAAAGTTTTATTGATAAACATATAGCAATGAGACAGTTTCAAATCAAATCGAAAGTAGTTTCAACAAATAATACACTGCGTATATTCTTCTTAGTGGTTAATTGCTGTACAAGATGCAGACTTGTGATCCTACTTACAAACACCATTAGAAAAAATCATTCTATTCATTAAGAGAATGCAACTATATATCTATCCCAACCACTTTGAATACACAGATACAAAATGGACATTCATAGTTATATCCCAATTTTTTTAAGTTCCGTTGTTGAATATTATAGGTGTGTAAACTCAGCAAAATATTCTAAAAGAGTCCAGTAGCCCATAATAGCATTGGGTCTTCTGTTTAACTGGCAATGTCAGAAATTACTGACTTGAGTCCCCCACAGCTCAACATAACAACACGGCTTTACTTCCTATATTTCGTCTTCATACTTTTCTACTGGATGGTTAAGACCAAGGTAAAGCAGGACCTGTGCAACAAGAGTTGTAGCTTTTGGGTCTGAGAAGGTCAGTGAAATGCCCTCAGGATTTATCCTGAGATCCTGTACCTCAGATTGTAGAACCTTTGTCAGCGGCAGCCATGTGGATGAGTCACGGCCAATGCTTGGCCAATTGCTGCTTGTCTTTGGCTGCCTCTTGCCCACTCTGCCCTCTCCCTCTGCCAAGCCACTCTACCTTGGAGCCAACTGATCATGGACGGAACCCTCCACAAACTGTGAGCTAAATAAGCCTTTACTTCCTTAACTTTGGGTGTTGAATAATTTGTCTCAGTAATGAGAAAAAAGTAACTAAGATGAAGGAAGATCTTAAGGGACATTAATGGCCATGTGTCTTTTATTGTAATCAATTTTTAAAAATTTAAACATTAAAAAAAATTAAACATTAAGTGTGTGTGTTCAAATTGTATATGCTTATACTATGTAACAATATAAACAATAACATTTAAGTAGGGACAAGATTGAGAAATGGTTAAATTATGTACACAAGCATTCCAAATATTATGTTAAGGTTGAGATGGCAAATTGTTCATTTTTTAAAGGTAAGAAATGAAAGCATGCCAGTTAAAACAAATTGAACAAACTGGACTATGCACAAACTGTGTTAGGAGCAGCTAATGAAAAATTCTGTAAGAGATGGTGCCCCGAATTTCTGTAGGAAGATAGAGATGTATGTTGGCTGCTGGGGGTGTAGCCTGCCTAGCACGTGGATTCCTGCTTCTGGTGATAGCATCTCAGCTTCCCTTTGGAGAAAGCGATTACCCTCCTTCTGTCCCTTACATCTTCATTCTACCCCCTTTGTGGCTCTGGGGAGGATCTAGACCCAGGCTCTAACTTGTCTCGTCCTCTTCCTTAGGATGGGATGGATGTGTTCAGGAGGAAGTTAGAATTCAAGAGCAATGATGAACACACTGGGAATTCCTGCTGGAGCAAATGTGAAGAGAAGCTGCAGGTACTAAGCCAAGGAGGTGGCCTGTAAAACCACAGCTGGGGGTGGCCACTGTCCATGGGTATTGCCCCCAACCCTGAAAGAAGCCAACCGCTCTGAAAATGGCCACAGAGAGACCATATTCCAGTGAACCCCTGGAACCTGAGGTCACACCTGCAATTCTCAGTCCATGAATCCATAAATCCTTTCACAACTTTCTTTTGCTGAAATCAGTGTGACTTAGGTGTTTTTGTGGCACTCAGCAACTGACAGAATCCTGGTATCATAATGACGTTACTTAGGTAGTTTTGTGACATTCTCATGTAAAGAGAACTCTTTGGCCATCACTGAAAAGACCTGCAGATCTACTGATTTTATATATTATGATGCTAAGTCACATTCCTCTTTGCTTTTCTAGTTACTTGTAGAAATTTGAGCTCATGTCCAAATGGGTTTCCATTATAAGAACTCAACAGGTCAAATGGAACAGATGTAAGAATCTCTGCTAAGTGATGTTAAAGCAAAAAAGTGCACAGCAATACTTGAATGATGTGAAATATTTAGTGACACTAGTTTTATGGAATAAGGCAAACATCTGTTGCACACACATGTTGCCTATATGTACATCTAGTCTGTAGCAGGTATGCTTTACGGGACCCACAGTACCATGCAGCTAGCTCTACAGTAAAAATGTAGCTGTAAGGGTTTTGTGGCATAGAAAGTAACACAGCGATAGAAGTTCACTGTTACAGGACTACGTGGGGACAGTGAAGGAAGCCTGTCATTGTGGAAGAAAGATGGAGACCAAAATAACTCACTTAGGTGCATAAGGATCAAAAATAACATCGAAATCCTCATCCAGCTCCACAGGACTTCTTGGTATGTTATAGTCGGTGCTGCGGTAAAATTTGGCAAAGGTCTCATCATCATCTAACTTCATCACCTCCTTCACAGATTGACCAGTGACAGTGAGTACTGTTTCCCCGACTGCCAATAGAGAGAAGCCAGTGAACAAGAGAAGAATTCTATGAACAACAATCCATGACTACATCTTGCAATACATTAAAATTATACCCTCTCAAAGTTCCCAGAGTGAGGGCTGGCCAGATAGCTCAGCAGATTAAAGTGCCTGCATAGGCAGACGCAGGGACTGGGGTTCGATCCCTGGCATGCCAGGCTGATCCCGCCCCCGGGATGCACTGAGACCGTGATTGAGACTGGGCATGGGGTGCGCACCTGTAATCCCAGCACTTGGGAGGCAGAAAATGGGAGGATCACTATCAGTCTGATCTGTGTAGTGAGACTCTGTACTAAATACAAAAAAAAAAAAAAAAAAATTCCCAGAGAGGAGAAAACACTGCAGCAGTGCATAGGGTCATGTGGCTGCTTGCTGGCCCTTACTTGACTTCTGGGAGAATACTGCACCAAGCCAACCACACCCAGTACAAGGGTAGGAGGGAGTAAGGCTGACCTTGCTGCCCACAATTCCACTGAGCCTTTATTTATTTTTTTGCCATAATTTTATTGATAAACAAATAGCAATGAGACAGTTTCAAATCAAATCGGTAGGACAGTTTCAATAATTAACGAACTGCATACATTCTTCTTAGTGGTTAATTGCTGTACAAGATGTGGACTTGAGATCCTATTTACAAACACCATTAGAACAAATCCCTCTATTCATTAAGAGAATGTAACTATATATCTATCCTAACCACTTTGAATACACAGATACAAAATGGACATTCATCTGTATCCCCTTTTTTTCTAAGTTCTGTTATTTGAATATTATAGGTGTGTAAACTCAGCAAAATATTCTAAAAGAGTCCAGTAGCCCTTAATAGCATTGGGTCTTCTGTTTAACTGGCAATGTCAGAAATTATTGACCTGAGTCCCCCACAACTCAACATAACAGCATGGCTTTACTTCCTATATTTCATCTTCATACTTTTCTACTGGTACCTCAATTTTTATGTACTAAAATTTTCTCTTAGAAATACTTTGTGATTTACTATGAGTCTGAGCTGTGCAGTAAGACCCTATAACAACCAAAAACATCTTTAAAGAAAGAATTTGTGATCACAAGAAAGAATATCAGCTTTCACCATCTGAGAAATTGATACACATGACTGGAAGTTTATCCAAGATCATGTTGATATTTGCATATTTCTAATTGTTTTCAGAGGTAAAAACACAATCACTGAGTTCATAATTCTGATCTGATGACTCTCCAAAGGTTTTATTTTATTATTATTATATATATATTTTGTATTTTAGGGAAGGTTCTACAGGATGTATAGGGTCTCACTACTAGATCAGACTCCTAGTGATCTGTCTGTTTACAGCCTCCCAAGAGCTGGGATTACAGGTGTGCGCCACCATACCCAGTCTTAATTGCCCTTTCAGTGCACTCTGGGGATGAGGCTGGCATGGCAGGCCCAGGGACTGAACACATCCAGGCCCCTGCACCTGCTTGCAGGTGCTTTAATCCCCTGAGCTATTTGGCTGGCCCTCCAAGGGTTTTAGATTTAGGAATAAAATGTTATTGGGAAGCTGGGAAATCAGGAAGGCATTTAAGCTGCTGAGCTCTCTCCCTGGCCAGCAGCTGGGGAATCAGAGTCTGACTCTTTTCACCAGGCTTAACCCAAATCTCATATTTTTTTAAAAAAAATGTATTTAGTACAGGGTCTTCAGGGTCTCACTACACAGACTGGACTTCTACTGATCCTCCTGTTTTCAGCCTTCCAAGCACGGAGATTACAGGTGCTTTAATCTGCTGAGCTATCTGGCTGGCCCTCCAAATCCGATTTGTTAAAAGATAACAACAAAGATAATGCTTATATTATTAATTAATAAACCTATAATAGAAGGAAGACAACTTAGCTGAGGAGAAAAAGCAATCAGATAGAACTTAGGGATTCTAAGAGAAGAGCAGGACTGTTTTGGTTTTTGTATCTACTCATTGAAAATACAAATGCTGCTGCACTAAAAGAACCTAAGCTAACGCGCCCCTTCTGGCCTCTGATATGTACCTTTGTTATTCAGCCTTCTTAGAAAGGTTTCTAGCCTGTCCAGCTTCAGGTCTGATTCCAGCTGCATATCCGGTCTGGCTTCAATATCTGAACAAGTACAAACCACCAGTGAGAGAAGGTCTTTGAAGACTCATTCAATTAGAAACTGAGACCCGATGGACATCTTTGCGACTCACCTTCCAGGGGTTTGGAAACTGGTGTAGTGCCCCTCGATTTGCTGCCCAGAGGAGAAGCTACTGGGGTTATGGCTGTGGGTGACGCCAAACCTGCAGAACAGAAAATGGAGCAAAGACTCAGTATCTTAAAATCACTTCTAGACATTGCCAGGACCCTGATCATCCCTGCAAGTCCCAGTGTAGACTATAATTTGTAAGAACTTAAGCCAGAACCTGGCATGCACGTATGTGGCTATTCGGCAGATACCACAACTGTGAGGTGACTGCCACTATACACAAGATTTAAAAATTCCTAATGACTAAGAGCCTGGCAAGCTGATACTCCAAAACTGAATGAGAGAGAATGAGAAAGCATCAGTGCTGAGTCAACTGAGTACAAGAGTGTGCGAGACCATCAGAATACACCCAAGAAAGGGAGCTACCAGTTCTGAAGGGTGGGAGGGGCCGCTGAGCAGGGAGCGCACTTGTACCGTCTCTCCCGGAGGAAGTAAAGTATAAACTGTGGCATGCGGGACCACCCATGGTGGTCCCTCGCACTGGAGGTTAAGGACAAGCTGGCCTTGCGCTGTTACACAAGACAAAGACCCAAAGAGCGTTGGCTGTTCAGAAACATAGCAGCCCCATTAAAAAGAAAAAAAAAAAAAAAAAAAAAAAGCAAAATCTGACAAGTTGAGTAACACTTCTTCCACTAAAGACAACAGGAACTGACTCTGAAGTAAAGGCGTTCGATAGGAATAGTCCACACAATGTGTCATGAAAATATTCACGTGACATCACTACTATGACAGGGAAGGGGAAGTAAAAAGGATCAAGATGCTTCGTGCACAAGCACCAGTGCCCCACCGTGGGTATCGTCATCGTGCACTTGAAACTTACACTCGTAGGAAAACATTTTTAAAAAATGTATTTACTTACTTATTTACTACAGGGTCTCGCTACACAGCTGACTTGTAGGGGTTCTCCTGTCTCAGCCTCCCCAGTGCTGGGATTACAGGTGCGTGCCACTATGCCCAGTCTCTATGGCTGGCTCAGCATGGAGCCAGAATAGCAGGCGGTCCCAGGATTTGAACCCGGGTCCTTGTACTTGCCAGGCTGATGCTTAAGACCACTAAGCTATCTCCCTGACCCCAACAGTTGCCTTATTTGTTTTTTGCCTGTTTTGGGTGATTTTTATATTTTTTTGATTGAAGTCATTATTTTTTAAATATTTTAATTATTAATTGGTGCAGGGTCTTGTTAGGCAGCTTGGACTCGCAGTGATCCTCCTGCCTTACCCTTCCCAGCGCTGGGATCACAGGTGCACAGCACCATGCCCAGTTTTGGTGACCGGCTTGGCACGGCATACAGTACTGGGGATCGAACCCAGGTTCTTGTACTTGCCAGGCAGATGCTCAGGCTGCCATCTATCTCCCCAGCCCTAAGAAGATTCTTAAAAAGATTTTGAAAGCCCATAGCCTGTTTCCAGAATGGTCACCTGGTAAGTGTGCGTGCATACACACATGCACTTACACACACGTGTGCATGGCTCTCACCTTTCTTTACCATTCTGCCAGCCACTGTGAACTGGGTGGAGTCGTTGGCAGCGCCTCTGCCTTTAGTTTTCCAGGCCTCTTCCCTCACGGTAATGAGTTGCTTCCGCTCCTCGATTGTCATCTGACTTTCTCGACTTTCTGTGACCCGCTGTTTGTGAAATTTATAAAAGAGAAAATGAGAGAGAGAGAGAGAGAGAGAGAGAGAGAGAGAGAGAGAAAGAGAGAGAGAGAGAGAGAGAGACAGAGAGA